AAAGGGTTAACCATCCTTCCCCCTCTCATGGTCCTGTTTCAAGTTCCCAAACTGCTAAAAGTGATCTTTATTATCAAAAGGGCCCAAGCACATTTAAGTTTCTCTGCCTTACACCCCAAATGTCTAATTCTGAAGCAAAATTTTAAACACATCTTTCTTTTGAATAGCACATATTGCTAAGTAAAGCCTTTTTATGTAGGATAATTAAACATTCAGATAGTCAAATTAATTTACATATGCTATTCTAACCCTTCAACTAAATCTACAAGATTTGGGAGAGTGTTAGCATCTTTGATGAGCATCTTATCACTGGTTTCTGCAGTCTAAGGAGCCATCCTACAACAAGCTGCTCTTCTATTGTAGAAAAGAAAAAGAAGAAGAGGAGGAGGAGGAGGAGATTGGATTTATACCTCGCCCTTCACTTGGAGTCTCAGAGCAGCTTACAATCTCCTTTCCCTTCCCCTCCCGACAACAGACACCCTGTGAGGTAGGTGGGGCTGAGAGAGCTGTTTCAAGAACTGCCCATTCAAGGACAGCTCTTGTCAGAACTATGGCTTGTCCAAGGTCATCCAGCAGCTGCAAGTGGAGGAGTGGGGAATCAAACCCGGTTCTCCCAGATTAGAGTATGTACACTTAACCACTACACCAATCTGTCCCTCCTCAGAAAAGTTCCTCAGGCTGGAGGAAAGCTTCACGCTTTGCTCAGAGAAATAGGAAGATTTTATTTTCCTTTAAAAATATGCAATCATTGATTTGAGCTGATCAAATTTTGCTGATTTACCAATTTAAGAAGATAACTATTTCCAGTCCACCCTTCAGAATTTCCTAGATCACAAAACATTATCATTTCCAAAAAGATTTTAGAAAGCTGACTCAGTGAAATAAAATTCCTCTATCTAGCTTTCCAGTGGTTAAAGTTCTTCTGTTCTGACTCAAAAAGCAAAATAATTATCAAATATACCAAAAAGATTAAGCACATTTTTAGATGGACATGAGTCCCTACCCGCAGTCTTCATGATGCATGCCTGCAAACCAGACTACAAAGCTCCGCAACTCTTGTGAAAGGCTTCTTCTAAGAGGTCTGTCTCTACATAATCACTCCTAACCCCATTAAAATGAAGTCCAGCATGCTCCTTCGTCACTCAAGGATCCCTTTATCAGACGCAAACCTTCTAACCCAAGCAAGACATTTAGATATAAAGAAATGAAATTCTCATCATCGTGTGTGTGTGTTAGGTGTCATCAAGTCCCTTCTGACTTATGACCTCCAAAATATCATATCATTAATAGAACTGCTGAGGTCTTGCAAACTGATGACATGGCTTCCTTTTCTGAGCCAATTCATTTCATATTGGGTCTTCCTCTTTTCCTACTATCTTAAACTTTTCCTAGCATTATTGTCTTTTTAACTTCTAGGGAGAATTCAGGCTTGATTTGATCTAGAACCCACTTATTTGTCTTTTTGGCGGTCCATGAGATCCATAAAACTCTCCTCAAACATCACATTTCAATTTATGCCTCACTATACTTTTTTATAGATTTTACGAAGTACAGACACACAGAGGAAGTCAGCTGTCTATGCATCGGTGATTATTTCCAACATTAAGCTAACAAGTTTCTGACAGAACATATTACTAGATATTGTTATCGTGGTCATGTTTCAAGATTTTTTTCCCACATTTTAATCACAGCTGGGGGGGAATATGTTTGGCAGGAACCCGGGGAGATCCATCAAGAGGGCTATAAACTGACACCACAATGGGAAAGAGACAACCAACACAGGGGTTTCAATGAAGGGGAGCAAACAGCAGAGGTCCACCTGGGAAGGCCAGGTCAAATGGAGCCAAAGTGCAGGGCTCACTACAACAAGAAAAGCTTCTTCAGCTATGTGAGGAGCAAGCACAACGTAAAAGAGGCAATAGGCCCACTGTTGGGTGAAAATGGAGAAACTCTGACAGACAACAGAGAGAAGGCAGAAAGGCTCAATGCCTATTTTGCCTCAGTTTTTCCCCATGAAAAAGAGAACTGGCTCATCTAGAGATGGCAGTAGCCAAGGCACGGTGTCTAGGCTGCTGGTTGACATGGACGGAGAGGTTGTTCAGAGGCACCTGCCTGCACTGAATGAGTACAAATCTCCCGGGCCAGATGGTTTGCACCCGACAACACTCAAAGAACTTTATACAGAGCTTGTAGAACCTTTGTCCATTAACTTCAAGACTTCTTGGAGAAAGATGTGCCACAAGACTGGAGAAGGGCGAATGTTATCCCAGTCTTTAAAAAAGGGAAGATGGATGACCCAGGAAGCTACAGGCCAGTCAGTCTGACCTCTGTCCAAGAGAAAGATACTGGAGCAGATTTTGAAAAGGTACTCTGTGAGCATCTAAAGGACAACTTGGTGATATTGGGAAGTCAGCATGGATTTGTCCCCAACAGGTCCTACCAGACCAGCTTTGTTTTCATCTTTGATCAAGTGATGAGCTTACTGGATTGTGGGAAGATGTCAACTTTGTTTACCTTGATTTCATTAAAATGTTTGACATGGTTCCCCACGATGTTCTGATGGGTAAACTGGAGGACTGCAGACTGGACTCTAGGATAGTTAAGTGGATAGGGAACCTGTTGTAGAACCACACTCAAAAAGTAGTTGTCAACATAGCTCATCTGACTAGAGGGAAGTATCCAGTGGGGTGCCACAGGGCTCGGTTCTGGGCTTGATACTTGTCAATATTTTTATAAATAATCTGGATGAGGAGGTAGAGAGACTAAATTTGCAAATGACACCAAATTGAGAGGAACAGTGAAAACTCCAGAAGATAAAGAATTCAACAAGATCTGAACACATTGGAAAAGTGGGCAGATGTGAGTAAGATGCAGTTCAACAAGGATAAGTGCAGAATTCTACATTTGGGCAACAAAATCAGCAAGCATCCATACTGGATGGGGGACGCATTCTGGGTAGCAGTGTGCGTGAACAAGATCTTGGGATATGGGTAGATTGTAAATTAAATATGAGTGGTTAGTGTGATGCAGCAGCAAAAGAGGTTAATGTAGTCTTGGGGTGTATCAACAGAGACATACCATCCAAATCACAAGATGTCATAGTCCCACTGTACACTGTGTTGTTCAGGCTCTACTTAAAAGTACTGTGTGCAGTTCTGAATGCCTCACTTCAAAAAGGATGTGGACAGAAAAGAGACATCTCCCTAGACAGCTGATTCCACTGCTGAACTACTCTTACTGTAAAAAAAAATCCAACTAGATATTAGGAAGAGAACAACAAAGATTATTAGTGGCCTAGAGACCAAGCCCTATGAGAACAAGCTGAGGAATTTGGGAATGTTCAGTCTGGAGAAGAGGAGGCTGAAGGGGGGGGGGATGACTGCTTTCGTTAAGTATCTGAAAGGCTGTTGGTTAGAGGAGGGCAGTAGCTGTTCCTGTTGGCAGCAGAGACTAGGACTCACAATAAGAAGTTCAAATTATGTACTAGTACTAGTAGTTCAGCAGTAGAATCAGCTGTCTAGGGAGGTGGTGAGCTCCTCACTGGCAGTCTTCAAGCAGCAGCTGGACAAACACTTGCCAGGGATGCTTAGGTTGATCCTGCATTGAACAAGGCCCTTTCCAACTCTATGATCCCACACAAAAGATACAACATGCAGAAGTACAGTTCCCCTCTCTTAAGGCAGCCCTCCAACTCCCCCCTCATGTTGCTCCTGAGGGGGGCATCATCCCTCAGGAGCCACATTTCAGGATGTATTTGGGGCGGCTCTAAGTGGGCAAAGGTGTGGAAGTTGCACTTCTGTGCACAGAATTTAGATGGGATCCAACCCAAATCTTGGAATAACTGAATAGCCTGATTCAACTCCTTGTGAATTACAGTGTTAGCACTACCCAAAGCTCAGTCATGATAGCAGTATGCACAGGAACTCCTTGTTTCTCTGGGTTTCCCCCACCCTTCCATGGGCAGAAATGTTCTGTGTGTGTGTGTGTGTGTGTGTGTGTGTGTGTATATATATATATATATATATATATATATATATATATAGAGAGAGAGAGAGAGAGAGAGAGAGAGA